ACGTCATTGATACTTGACAAATATTACTAAACGTTACTAATCTGCGTCCTACTAAGCGGAGGCGGGAAAAACTAACAACCATGGCGGAAGATAACACAGAGAGCAGTCAATGGAGAGAAAGTGAGGTTGCTGACTTAATTCATATTTAGAAAGCTCGATTCAGACCAAACTCGAAGGGTCTTACCGGAACCGGGGGAGGGTCTTTCTTTTTGATCTTCTTAAAAAGATTTCGTTCGTAATGTGCCTGCTCCTGTTGGAGAAGAACTTAAAGAACGCAATATACGCTGCGGTATTACGAGTCATGTTTACTTCCGCAAACACTGAGGACGCTTGCTACGTGTGACGTCATCGCGTCCTCGAGTGCGCATGCGGGACACTTCGGTTGGACGCATTCAGTTCACACAGTAGATCACATACAAGTCGCATATACTTGGAAGTGTGAACGGTCACGCAAAAAAATCCGATTTCACAAAAAAATCGGAATTGAGCATTAAGGCCTGCAGTGTGAACGTAGCCTTAGTCTTTCGCTGGTGTAGCTCTACTATTTCTATGGTTCTGCCAAGAACTAAGAGTGAGATCCCATATAATCAGTATCTACCAATCAAAACATTTGTTGTTGCTCAGTCTTAGCTAGCTACCAAACAAATATATATCTAGTATAAACTAACATATACTAATATAAATTCTAACCTAATATAAGGCACAAGATTCTATCAAGAAGAAATGTTATATTGAAAAAAAAAAGTACTGAGTAAAACCATCAATGCAAAGGTTGATCTGTGCATCTCATAATTACAGCTATCTGCTAAAAGTAAAACTGCAATTTCACAGTAAAATTCATATTTCAATGCCTTAAATGTTGAAAATCACCCCATGTCCATTTATACAGTTTTACAGCTTTTATTTTTTATTTCTCCCTGTAGTTTAGCAGTTTTTAGGAGGTATTGAAATAAATAATCCAAGGAGTCCTCCTGTATATTTTAGATGGTTTAGTTGTTCCAAAGCACTTCCACCGCTTGTGGTTTCTGATCTAATAGACGCATAATCTCTCTGGCTAAATCTCCAATTTTGAAATCGAGGACCTTGGTTCGAATCCCTGTTGCATCAACAAGGGCAGCCAGCGAAAAAACGTCCAAGTGCAAGTTGTAACGATTTGCTGTGGTGAGCCCTAAATGAGGGAGCAACTGAAAGGACTCACAATTCATCCTCCTTGGGGCCTGCTGAAACCTTTGAAGCAGCTCAGTTTGACCTTATAAAAAAACAAGAATCACTTCAGTGACACCTAAGGGGACAAATTAATGTCCATTTACTCTATTTCTTATCACAAAAAATGGCATCACCTATACCAAATTTTTAGAGCAAAACATGCTTCCAAGATTTCAAACTGGCGCCACCAGATGAAAGCCACAGGCTGCAGATTGGCCGGGTCACTTGGATGGACACTGGATATCAAGTCTGGTGGAGGTGAGCAACAATGTGGTGGTGACACTGACGGCAAAAGTAAAGCCCGACATTGATAACAACCACAAAAGGTCCAAACAGAGCCATGTTGTTTCCTTTCGGCCTGGGCAAGGCCCTGGTAAATCAATGCATCTCTCTGTGGCCCCATACACAATATGACACATCATTGGTGCCACACAGTCAGTTGGGATATTAACTAACAGACTGGTTTTTAAAGAGTTAAATAAAGCTGCTAAAAGTCAAACACTGTGCTCAGGATTTGATAGAGGTGTGTGAAAACAAAACTTAAAAGACAGAGAAACACTGCAGCACATATTGTGATTATATGGACTGGTCTGGCTTGGACTGATTTAATTGAATGGAGTGACTTAAGGGCTGGTTATACTCCCTGCAGAAGTGTGGCGTGGTGAGCTTGACGCAGACATTTTTTATTTATGCTAAATATTGAAGCGTGGTCTGTGCTCTGTTATTCCACACCACAACGCAAAAGGGGAAAATCATGAACTAGCTGCGGGTCTCGATACGGCCGAGGCGGTGAGGAAATGGGGGCAAGTTTGTGCAAAAATGGAGGGACATGAGGGCGAAAAAAAGCGGGGATCCAGGTTGAAAAAGGGTACCAGCGTTCTCATGCGCCTCGCTCTTCTAGCTGGTCAAACTTCACAAGCCGTTTTCCACAATTGCGGTCATAAAACAAAACAAGACGGCCTCCTGCCTGCGTTCCCCTAAAATGTGGGAGAGGTGCAGCGGAGTGTCTGCAGAGGTGGCGGGGACGGCTTTTTGTTCACTGCAACACCTACGCAGACGACCTAGTTTTCGAAGTATAAATCAGCCTCTATGCAGCAACAGGTGGGGGAGGGGAACAAAGCAAACATTATGCTCTACACAGCAAGTTGGAAGTTTGCAGAAAATTGGTGGAAAATTAATTTATTAGATATGCAAGATATGCAAAGATTATTTTGGAACTCTTCAATTTTACTTTCTGTAATCGTACCCCTTGTTTAATCAAGAGGTACCTGTAAATTAAAAACTTTTCTCCAAAAAGTTGAGGTGCTGTAGCCACACCCAGGCCTGATTAATAGGAGAACTGTAGAAACAAGAGTGACTTAAAATAGAATCTGTCAGACAAGATGAAGTAGGCTCAAAGATCTAAAAACGACAAAAACAAATACTGAGCTGAAAATTTTTTTCATATGAGTCTGGGTGGGCTAATAAAGCAAGTTAACGCTTTGAAAAAAAAATATGGCAATGGGGAAAGTTCTCATGAATGGCTGATCTAGCAAAATCAAGACCCAAAACACATCACTGGCTGATCCAGGAGGTCACAAAAATCACATAGAACACCTAAAGCACGGCACAATTCACTTGCTCCACTTAATGTCAGAGTTCACAATTTAACAATGGGGAGGAGACGGAAGAAACATGATATCAAAGAAAATTGCAAGACTGAAAGTACTGCCAAATAAATTTAAGTAACTGATGGAATCATAAATTTTGTCATTTGTCAGAAAACCCTTTAAGAGACTGTCAGGTCATCAGTTTGTGACCTACACTGCATAAATTGTCCATCTAACCATCTAACAATCAGATCTAGCCAAAAAAAGTCTTTCTGATCTTGTTTTAAGCTTGATATACTAAGAAAGAACAGATTCTTTTGGATTATTAATTTAGCTTTGAGAAGATTCTTCTCAGAGATAAATGCAAAAATCAACCAGAGCAGTAAGACGATTAGCCCGGTAAGATTCAGATTATATATTCTCGAAACCACGAGTCTTACCAAGTACATTAATCTTACCCCACCGGGAGATTATTGCACTTATTTCTGAGTAAAATTATAATTATCTAACAGAATCTGTTCTTGTTTAGTATTTCAATCTGTAAACATGATCAAAAAGACATTTTGGCTAGATGTAAGATTGTAATACACTTTATGCATTGTATTAAAAAACAAAAAAAGGTTTTGGAGTGTCCTGGTCAAAGTCTTTACTTAAATGCTATTGACACGGTTTTGCACAACTTTTAACAGACCATGCAAACTCAAAAACAAAAGCCCCTCAGAATGTGAATGCTAGGGTTTATGCAAGTTTTTGCTGCTGAGCGTTCCACAATTTTTTCCAACAGCGATCTGGATAGCTATTTAACCTGTATAAATACAATATTTAAAAAAAATAATGTATGCTATGTTTACTGAACTCTTCTTAATAGGAAACAAATATATAAAAATAAAGGGATTAATACTTTTTCTAAAGTGTGCACATTTCTAAGTTTCTATGGTCTACGAGTACATCAATCTAAGTTGATTGATGTACTTATAGACCATTCATTTCTAGAGTTTTGGGTTTTATTTTTAAATAGGGGACAAAAATCAGGATTTCAGTATTTGCCCTTTTAAATCACTACCTAGAGCTGAGCTACATCAAACTTTTGGCTGCCTATTTAGTTGGGATGTCCCGATCCAATTTTAATTAGACCAATATTAGCCAAAAAACTAATGTCGGATTTTATCAGCCGGCATCTAAAATCTATGATATTTTCATGCAGATAAAAACACTCTGCTTCTATTAAAAGCTTCTGTAACTTATTGGTTAATTTTACATGGGTCCGTTGTTTTCATACCGTCTGTTGTCGACTTTTGTTCCCTGTTTTAGTAATATTACTTGATCAAGCCATTTCTATTAATAATAGCTGGTATGATTCTTACTAACATCGTATCGGGTTATTACCGTATCAGCCAATTCTCAAAGCAGCAATATAGGAATTTTATTGGAAATTAAAATGTTGCATCGGGACACCCGTACTATTTAGTGTCTCTAAATGTCTCCGGTTTGATTTCTAGTTGAAAACATTGAACAAAAGATAAATCAACTGCTGTAAACTGTAAAAAAAAAAAGCAAATTACCAAAGGATCAACAAACAGACTGCAGATTAACCCGGTGTTTCATTCACACAGGACAAACAGCTCATACTTCCGTTTGGTTACAGTAAAATCTATCTATAGCTCTTTATCAATTCGTCATTCCTGATCTGTGGTGCTGCAAAGCCACCGTCAAACAAGGAAGACTTTCAGAATTATGTAAAACATTATCTACATTTCCAACACATGACCTTGTGCTATTGAATGGATGATCACACACACAGAAGAACCTCGTGTGCTCCAACTTCTGCATTCAAATCCACACCTTTAACACGGAACCAACCACCCAACAAGACTCCAGTGTGCAATTTCCTCTCTGTTTTTATTAAGGAAACAGCAAAGGATTCTTAAGAAAACCAGCATTGATATCAGGGAAAACAAAAAGAAATTTAAGGAAACCTCAAAATTCCAGCTAAAAAAACCCTGAGTTTTATCTGTCAGATCAATGCTGTCGGACATACCTCTCTGCTGAAACAGCAAACCCATTATATCGCATGCCATCTAACGCCCACGCAAGCACACGTTGGGAAAAAGATTTTTTTTTAAAGCACCAAAGCAAAAATACACACACAAAGGTATAGCATTTTTTTGTTGTTGCCGTTTTTTTTAAACAAACAAAGGCTCTTACCTGTGGATAGTCGAAGTCCGAGAGTGGTGCTATGCTTTTGATGTATTCGATCCTAAACTGGTTCTCTGGATTGGCTATTGGAACTGGGGGTATTAAAGTGCTCATCGCAGACACTATAGTCTATAAAGCAGAAAAGGGACACAAAATAGAAGAGGCACTAAGCAGGATGATAACAGGAGGGGGGGGAATGCTAAGAGCGGGTACAATAATCAGTCAAATGGGACAGCAGGGGGAGCATTTTTGTTTAGTAGTATAAATGCAAACTCACCACTATGGCATCCTTCACGTTTTTCCGAATATCCTGTATTTTCTGTTTCTTTTCTCTGCATGGATAAAAGACACATTCATTATACAGTGTTTACCAAAATACAGGGTTCCTACAAAGCACTTAATAGAAAATGCAGACTTTTGCAAAGTTCACATTCTATAGTTTTTTTTCCTAATATCAATGCTAAATTTTGGCTAAGAAATTAATTCCCGTCTCTACAGTGAGATGGTTTCTCATATTGAACCAGCAAATTACCCAGACGAGGGTAGAGGACTCAAAACTTGTCCTCAAGTAAAAGTAACACTACATTTTTCTATGCAAGTAAATAGAAATCATTCAAGAACTTACTCAAGTAAGGGTAAAAAAGTATTCGGTAAAAAGGCTACTCAAGTACAGAGCAATCATTGAATCATCATATCATACTAAATGTTTAGAAATTATGCAGTCAGCTGTAGTTTATGTGCAGCTTCTATTATTTAAACCACAAAATGCATGGAAAATATAGATAAATGACATTATTACGAAACTGAAGAATTAAGTATTAAGTTTAGTGTGCAGGGATGATAAGATTTAAAGCAAGGACAACAGGGTTAAAGGACAATCTCAAAGATGGAGGGTTTGTTGGGGGAAATGTATGCATTAATATCAGCTTTAGTTATTTTATTCACCCCTTTAGAAGGCTGAATACATTTTAGCTTGGTTGGCTTCAATTTGCTTCACCCTAAAACCTTAACCCCTCTAGACCATAACTACACACGTACAAGTTAAGGAAGTGTTTTCCCTGCTAGCATCTCACAATGGAGAAAAAAATAAACTGGCCCCTCAGTGAGGGTCCAAAAGACCACCATCAATTAATATAGAATGAATATGTTTCAAAAAAGGAAAAGGATTCAAATAAATTATGGAATCCATGATCAGACATGTAAATGTCTGTTTTTCAATTCTGTTTTTGGTTAAAAAGTAATATTCTGCAATACTTGCATGTCACATGGACCATTTACCGGTATTAAACATTAAAGCTTCCGTAGCTGCAGTTAATTTGCTGCTATGCTTTAAAATGAAATTTAAAGGTATATCATAATTACATAAAGGCCATCAGTTAAACCGCAGATTATTACGTTAAATTTAAACTGTGCACAAAATGACCAGAATCTGTCTGCTTAAAACCAAAACTTCCAGCTGAAGTTTGTGTTACCTAGAAATAAATAGCCATGCAACATAGCAAAAGTACTCCTCTAACCGACATCTACATCAGGAGGATCCAATATAATCTTTACATTTAGAATGAATCTCGTTTCATAAGGTTCTATGCACTCTCCCCTTTAATTGACTCCTAAATCTCTATTTTACCTTCCGGACTAGAGAGCGTACCTCACTATAGCTGCACGCACTGAGTTTTTGGGGGGTTTTTTTGTGTAAATGTACATATATAAGCCACAGATGTCTACTGAACAGTCTCCCTCCAAATCTGTAGGGGGAGCTCAACATATAGCTCCTAGAGTAGCGACGAAGAAGAATGCTAGCTCCTGTTAGCTTGTTGGTTCGCAGTAGTAAGAGCTTCTAATGAAAGATGGGGCTTCATCAGCTCTTTATTTCTGCTCTGCAGGACTTGAGCACAGTCTCTTCATTGAATCCACAGTTTTAATGCAGGAAATAAATGTCAAAATGTGTGAATTCTGGGCATTTGTTCTCCATCATGCCTGCTGTTAGCATGTACTTGTTCTAAATGAAAATTAGCCCCTTCTTCTTTGATTTCTAACTTTGACTTCCGCAGCTTAACGGTTAAGATAAATCCACAGAAAAGCTGCACTTTCTTACAAGCCGCACGGTTCCAAGCGTGGGAAAAAAGGAGCAGCTCATACTCTGGAAAATACAGTAATTTACGAACATATCAAAAGACTCCACTAAAAAGTAGGTAAAAAAAAAGTTTGAAGAAACTGAAAATCTTTGTTATGCCCTGATACCTTTTATGTAAACCTATGACATGTAAACATTTGTAGAACCCTGTAGCTGAGATCAGCATACAACATTTTAAACGTGCTATAGTGACATTAGAATACGCCAACTAACAAAATGGCTACATTTGTGAGGATTTGCAGATCTTCCCGCTGCATTTTAAGGTGTTCCTGTGAAAATTTGTAACGGCTAGAAAGCCATTCACCTTTCCCCTCCTTATGTAACACAAATCCAATCAGGGTGCCTCGGGTCTACCAGGGCTCTGAACCTCAATGGTCAGCAGAAAATACTTGATTAGAAATACAAAAAGGTTCTTATTTCCTCAGACAAATCAGGTTGTCTCTATTTTGGAAAGCCAACCACTACTGCTTTTGTTTGGAAAGTTTCATCTCCACCATTTGTGCGTCAGGTCATGCTTGAAAGAAAAACCGAAACATAAGGAAGAGTTTTTATTAAAGTACACTAGAAATAAATCGATACATCAGCCAGCTGGTATTTTTGGCCGATATCAGGCTTTATTTCCTTATCTATATCTGCCGATAAATTCGGCAAGCATGCCATGAGCTCATTTAAGGCATTTGCTATTCATCCTTCTCATTTTTTCTTTGAATTTCCTAATAAGTGTTCCATTTTGTTTAAATTAAGACTTGTGCAACATTTTATAACATTTGTTATAAGGTAATTTTTTAACATGTAAATGGAGAAGGAAGCAAATTTGACCCAACAGATAAATAAATGAATGAAAAAAAAGTAATGGCAGCACATATTGGAGCTCAGCTAAGTTGGTGCAAAATAATCGGCATCAACCTTAAAAAACCTGCATGGGTCGTTACAATGGCCTGCATGTCAGATCGCATTTTAATTAAACTGAAACTACTACTGGTACCAGTAGCCAATTCAAACTCAGAGTTTATCAGTAAATACGCTGTAGGAGGAATTGAGTAGATCCAGGAAGTTGGATTAAAATTTAGGACTCTGATCTATTATAGGCCTGTGTTAAACAGGCCAGAGCCAGGGACAAGGGGTTAAAGGTGTTTCAGCAGCAAAGCAGAACTAAAATCTTATTTCAACATAATCTACACTTTAATTATATCATGATTTGAACAGAAGCTGGGCTGAATTAATGATTATTTAGCTAACTGGTCAGTTTGTTGACTGTTTTATCAAATAATGATTAATTGATCAAGGCAAATGTGCTTAATAGATTATTTTCCAGAATTTGAACCAGAGGAAGCTCAAACCACACGACCTGATGAGTTCTGGTGGTTTCAAACACAGAAGATGCAGCTCTGGGTCAGCTTTTCTTTCGGCAAGTTTTAAAGTCTGTATACGCACACTTTTCCTCAATACCCTAAGTTATAATATAATTATAATGTAAAATTATGCTGAACTAGAACAGTCTAAGCAGGGTACACAATGATCAAGGTATTGTCATTACGGCTGCATATGAATCTTCTTGACAAATGATACTATAAAACATTGGATTTACTTCAACAAAAACATGCAATTCATGCATCTCTAATATTAAATCTTAAAGATGTAATAGGCCTCTTTAAAAACAGACCATTGCTAAGATTATTTCAGACAATAAGCAACAAAACAGATCAAATAGGGCAAATTTTACACTTAAAATCCTCCAGGAGTTGAATGTAAACACAACTTTAACTGTTATACTGGGTCATGATCTAAAAAAAATAACTAAAACAAAACTGTGATATCAGAACCCAAGCTTGAACATGTTGATCAAGCTTCACACTAGAAGATCCACATGTAGAGGACTTTCCTACAGTGAAAGGACTCTGACATGTTGCAGTCCTGTTTCAAACAGACCACAGTGAAGATCAATGCCATGCAAGGCCTTGCAGCAAAACAAATCATCAATAGGCCTATGTCGATCACAACCTTTCTTTCCCTCATGCGTGAAACAGGAAACACTTTTTTTTCTTCTGACAAGCCTTGTGATACACTCTCGCATTTATAACTGCATCCTTGCTTATTTATAAATATATATATATATTTTACTTCTATTTAAATGTAGCTGTAAAAGTCAGATATTAGCAGGTTTGCATTGGTGGTTGAGGGCCCAACAGGCGCTGCAGTGGCAGCAGGCTGTATGCTGGCCTCGGCGCTGTTATTCATTAGCAGAGTAGCCATAAAGCAGAGCATAAAATGTTATTTTCTCTGCACTTTTAATGCGCAGCACTCACTCAGCGTTGAAGCCGTTGACGTGTAGGATCCTCATCTGCTTCACAATGGTGCTTTTTCCGGACTCTCCCGCACCTTCGACACAAATATAAAAAAACACACATTTAGCATCAAGCAACCATCTTTAAAGGAGATACATAAAGCTAAATTATTAAGGTAGTTAACTGTAGGTTGTGGAGCTTTTCATTAATATCCACCCCTCCTCCTATGACATATTATTGCTGTCAAAGAAATAGGGCTACGTGTTCGGTAAACGAAACATTTTCAAACCGCCGCGTAGAAATGAACCTTACCCAGCAATAAGAGCCTGTGTGTCGCTTTATAAGCCTGCCTCTCCTTCTGTAGCTGCTTTTCTATCTTTTTATTAGCTTCTCGTTGTGCCTTTTCGTCGATGCGTTGGTCTTCAGTCTTGCTGTTGCCCAAACAACCCATCTTCCGTCCCCCTCAACCCTTCCTTGTGGAGTCGTTAGAAATAATATCAACGTGAAATAAAAAAAAAATGACAGCCGGGGAGGGCGGTGTGTTGTTGTAAAAAAAAAAAGAAAAAAAAAAAAAAAAAAAAAAAAAGGGGGAGAAAAAGAAGTCAAACCGACGCCGAGTGTGCTGTGGATATAATAGTAATATATATATAAAAAAGGGAGAAATCTCTGCGAGGTTTCTCTCCGTCCGTCCGTCCGTCGGAGGGAGGAATATGTTCCCCCGTTACAATTCCGCTTCAGCCGCAGCAGACCGTCATCCGCACCGCCGGAGAGCAACCGCTCGATTCACCGAGGAAATATTCAAAATACATACAGAAATAAGAAGAGAAATAAAGAGAGAGAGGAGAGAGGGGGGCGATTTCAATTTCTGGGAATCCGGTCAACTGTTCCTATCACGTCTCCAGCCCCTCTTCTCTCTCAGTGTTTTTTTTTTCTGTCTGAATTTCTACCAGTATTTCTGTCTCTTTAACTCAGCACTGCCTCTTTCTGTGGCACCAGGAAGTAGCCGTGGACAGTGGAAGTGAAAAAAATAAAAATAAAACCTCCGTTTAACTGTAACGTTAACGACCGGACCTCTGGTAACATTTTTGAACACGGTGAAGTTAAAAACAGACGCGCCGATCTAGATTGAGCCTTGTTACAGCCTGATATAAAGGTAAAAACAATGGAGGGATTGGAAAGCTCGGCGCCTCTGTACAGGCGAGAGAGAGAGAGAAAGAGGGAGGGAGGGCTGGGTCTGTGTCTGCTAGTGACATGGTCCTGACCCAAAGGTAACCTGCTAACAGCCACGCAACTGGGCTGTCATATACATGAAGTAAAATTATAAAAATATTTTTAGCTGTCGTATTATTTCGTTAATATACAATTAGAATCAATGGCGTAACGACACAATAGTTGCAACATTATCTGAGTGGGCCCCGTATGAAGTGCAACACCCCCCATCCCCTTACCGCCCCCCCTCGCCAACACACTGTACGTAACGTAACGGTTATGGTTCCACTCTACGCTCTGGATTACCCATAATTCCAAGCTATATTGTAAAAAAAATATATCGTTGTCTTAAGATCTTTATTGCGGTTTTAAACATATTGAGTGATTGTATTTTTGACCAACCGTCTAATGAACTATACACAGTTATTAACATAGTAATTAAAAGTACCACTGTCTGTCGGCTCACCATCATGTAGAAAGCTGCCATGTGTTGGGGGTATAAATAAGGTTCAGTCAGATAATTCCTACATAGGTAGTTGTAGGAGAAGTTGTTGCATCACTTCAGCTGCTAAAGGTCAACCATAAATCACTAATGGGGCCTAAATGTATCTATAGTATCTTCTAATGATGGCACCATTATTAGAGTAGAAAATCATTTTATTCAGGGGAGGAGCTAGATGGGGGCCAGGGAGCCAATCATTGGCCACCCCTACCATTTATTTCCCTCTAATACAGATGGTGGCAACTATGGAGGACCAACTCTGCCATATATTAAAAGAAACTAGAAAAAGCTGTTTCGGAGAAACATCAAAGTGGGAATGCTTTTGCTGAATGAAAAAAGCTGAAATTAACTGCAGAACATATGAAAATGTGATAGGAAGTCATCAGAAACTTCAAACTGCAGAAAACAATTGAATCATCTGAAGATTTTGTAGGGTAGAATCATTTGGCAGTAAAATGGCAGAAACAAACTCATCTTAAAAGCTGCACAGCCAAACCATACATGATATCAAAAAATGTCTTGAATGTGGGCACTAGAAGGGTCTTAATATAATGTCTCCCAAGTTTCTAGAAAAATGTATAAAGAAATTTTGAAGGGGGGTTTACCTACTTTCCAGAAACATGTCAGGCGTGTTATGAATTAGCAGCAAACAGAAAAGCTTAATTCCTGTCCAGAAAGAGAGCAGAATGAAGCCAAAGTTCACAACATAGGCTGAAAAGTATGAAATTAGCTGAAGTAGAAAAGAAATTACAAAGAAAAACTTTAATCTTATCTGGTTGAAGAAAAAATGAGTAGCTTAAGGATGGGAAGTAAAATGTTGAGGAAGATGGTATTGAATAAGTATCAACATTTTGAAATCATATGTGGAAATGTCAAGACTTGGCAAAACAATTGGAAAATTATTTAAAATGTGTCGGTTGATCAGCATAAAGAAAACAGTGTCATCCTTAGAGGATTGAAAATCTACAAACCTATGTGCAAGACTGACCATGAGAAGCAGAGGAAGGACAGAGAGAGAAGCTTATAGAAAGAGAGCTAATACCACTTAAGGAGCTGAATTTATCAAAAAATTGAACCTGCATGTTACGAGCCGCTGTGTTGATGACAGCACCGTTGGCAGGCTTAGGCTGCATGTTACGAGGTTAGCAGATGCTTTATTACAGTGTAAATCTTAGAACCTGATTAAGAAATATGCACTGAGGTGTGTGGTCAACAGGCCTTGGTAGTGTAATTTGAAGAAATTGGTTGAGTTTGGGTCATAGCTACGAGCCATACGGCACAATGAATGAGTGTATGTAAGAAAGAGGCTTTTATTTTGTAGAGTCCCTTTAGTCTTATTTTGAAAGTCTATCATGGATGTGTGTCAAGGGAAGGGTCATGCCCAGCAGTGATATAGAATCCATTTCTAAATATGAAATCACTGGTTTTCCATGTTATTGGGTGAATAGATGCTGTATTAGAGCGTAAATGGGAGACTTTTATTGTGAAATTCACTCTGGGGTATGTTTTGAAAAGGTCCCTAGAGTCTAATAGAAACAAGCTGGTAGAGTTTGGGTCATAATGCTGAGCCATTTGCATCAATTAATACACAAGTATAATATAGAGGCTTTTATTTTGTAGGGTCACTGGAGTCTTATTTTGAAAGTCTAGCAGGGTTGTGTGTTGAGAAAAGGGTCAGACCCAGCAGTGATACTTGATGACTTTCCAATCGTTAAATCACTCTTTTCCCCTGTTATTAGGGCAGTAGATAAAGTGGCAATGGGAGGCTTTTATTTTGAAATTTGCTGTGGGGTGTGTTTTGAAAAACCCCTAGAGTCTCATTTTTAAAAAAGTGGTTGAGTTTGGGTCATAATGTTGAGCCATATGCTGGGAAAAAAATATGAGTTTAATGTAGGGGCTTTTATTTTGAAGGGTCCCCGGAGTCTTATTTTGAAAGTCTATCAGGGTTGCGTGTGAAGGGAAGGGTCATGGCCAGTAGTCATATTGTATCCACTTCCTAATGTTAAATCAGTGTTGTCTCCCTCCATTAGATTAAAATGTGCTGTTTAAAGTGGTGGAGGTAAAATCTCTTTGAAGCACGGTTACCTTGACGACGTTAACGAGCCTGTCAGTGACAGAGAGACATGCGCATCACTTTCGTTCCTTAGTTCTCAGGCTTTTTTGAATGGGATTATCAGCTCCGAACAAACAAGTGCTGAAGACAAACCGTAAATGGTATCTAAAAAATTCTTTCAGTCTAAGCGAGAGCTATCCTTTGTCTCCGATTGGGGTAACTTTCATGGCTGTAGCTCATTCACAACCTTAATGGGAAGGAGGAATAAAAAGGTTTGAGAAATCCTGCTGGTCTCATTGAATAACATGCAGCACAATGGTAGAGCAGAACTCTCAAAAGCAAAACTTTCCCTCCGAACAAACGAGCGGTGAGCCAAAACCGTATTAGGTATTCAAAAAATTCTTTCACCGTGAGCGTCAGCCATCTTTGGACTACAACTGGTGTAACTTTCATATTTCTACAATATTTCGTCTAGGCGTGGTGACGATGTAAAAAAGTGTATAATTGTCAAAATCTTGATTTTGGGGTTCGGACAGATTTGTTACCCCCGAACAAACCTTTTTCCTAGCTAAACGATAAAAGATATCGACACACTTCCTTCAATGTGAGTGCTAGGAAGGTCTGAGGAACAACTTCCACAAGGCTCGTGTTGCTACGTCGAACGGTTCCCGAATGGGAGCGATACGAAAAAGTCTGTTTTTTTGAATTTTCAGTTCGGATTTTCAGAGAGCTCTCATTGGATTTCTATTGGAGAAGTGTGGACTTCTTCGTGGTCTGGGCCAAACTGTCGGAAAACCGTAAATGCCACACAGATGAGGGTTACATTTCCTGAATCCTGACAAAAATCCCTACGTTTTGATGTAAAATTTATCTAGATAGAGTAAAAAATGAGCGAGTGAGTTGAAGCTGTTCGGCATGAGTGAAATGTTTGAAAACGCTAGAGTGGCACACTCTAGCAGCTGAACATTCCGTCCATAGACTTCCATTATAAATCTGAAAATCTTTAAAAATTGTTTAAAAGTTTGAAGCTTCACTGAAGCAAAACTGTAAAAGTTAGCTGAAAGCCGAGTTAAACAGTAATAGCAGAAAGATACGGAAACATTTTAAAAGTTGAATGGTGTTTCTAGCTGAAAGTATGCTGAAGTAGTTAAAGGGCAAAGTAGCTGAAGATTTAGTGGAATTTTTGAAGTTTTACATGCATTTCAATGGGGCCAAAAATCGCAGAAAAAGCTGAATATCGCGAAAACTACGAACAATATCTTTACCAAAAGTCATAGCAGAATTCTCCTGAACAAGCTGAACGTTTTGATACCAAATTTGTTTAAATCAGCTGAAAACTGTTGAACTAGTTAAACGAAGAAAAACCTACGGAATAATAATAATAATAATAATAATAAAGAAAAACAGAAAAACAATAAGTGGGAATGCATAAGCATTCCCACTTGACTAGAAAAAGCTGTTTCGGAGAAACATCAAAGTGGGAATGCTTTTGCTGAATGAAAAAAGCTGAAATTACCTGAAGAACATATGAAAATGTGATAGGAAGTCATCAGAAACTTCAAACTGCAGAAAACAATTGAATCATCTGAAGATTTTGTAGGGTAGAATCATTTGGCAGTAAAATGGCAGAAACAAACTCATCTTAAAAGCTGCACAGCCAAACCATACATGATATCAAAAAATGTCTTGAATGTGGGCACTAGAAGGGTCTTAATATAATGTCTCCCAAGTTTCTAGAAAAATGTATAAAGAAATTTTGAAGGGGGGTTTACCTACTTTCCAGAAACATGTCAGGCGTGTTATGAATTAGCAGCAAACAGAAAAGCTTAATTCCTGTCCAGAAACAGAGCAGAATGAAGCCAAAGTTCACAACATAGGCTGAAAAGTATGAAATTAGCTGAAGTAGAAAAGAAATTACAAAGAAAAACTTTAATCTTATCTGGTTGAAGAAAAAATTAGTAGCTTAAGGATGGGAAGTAAAATGTTGAGGACGATGGTATTGAATAAGTATTAACATTTTGAAATCATATGTGGAAATGTCAAGACTTGGCAAAACAATTGGAAAATTATTTAAAATGTGTCGGTTGATCAGCATAAAGAAAACAGTGTCATCCTTAGAGGATTGAAAATCTACAAACCTATGTGCAAGACTGACCATGAGAAGCAGAGGAAGGACAGAGAGAGAAGCTTATAGAAAGAGAGCTAATACCACTTAAGGAGCTGAATTTATAAAAAAAATTGAACCTGCATGTTACGAGCCGCTGTGGTAATGAAAGCACCGTTGGCAGGCTTAGGCTGCATGTTACAAGGTTAGCAGATGCTTTATTACAGTGTAAATCTTAGAACCTGATTAAGAAATATGCACTGAGGTGTGTGGTCAACAGGCCTTGGTAGTGTAATT